TTGTGCTCCCATTAGGTATGTCAGCATAATGAAGGCCCAAACACCTAAGCATCAGCTTCCGGATGAAGTTACGCAAAAGAACGTCCTGATTTTTATAACGAAGGGCCTTGAACAGGGTGAAGGAACGGCGATTGTCTTTCAAAACCAACATATTGCAGTGCTTCTTGAAATTCAACAGGTAATCATAGTAAAAAGCAAGATCGAGAATTTCCAAAACCGTTTTTAACGCTTGATCCGCCACCGAGTAAACAGGACTAACAGAATGAGAACCAATCCGCATAACGTGAGTTTTATCGGACGACAAGCTGAGCCTATTTGCAACACTCTCTTTTCAATTTCACTTTCATACACGACGTTCACATTCGCTCGCAAATTGGATCCTACAGTCTTGACCGCTGATCCATCAGCCGCATTTCTACTCTCATCAACCTTTCTCAGGCTTTCATTTTCTGCCTTGAGTTCGTTGTTTTGACCCACCAGGATACCAATCCATTTGCGCATCGAGTCTAATTGCTCCTTTGTATCGAAAAGAACACGGAGTATAGTTTTGACGTAAGCAGGTACATTTGGGCCCAGCGCACTCTTCCGAAAGCTTGGCCCAATCATCTTTAACTGACGATACCACATCGACACATCTTCGTTTGGAGGCTGGAACAGATGTAGACCTAAGGGGTGTATTCATGATTGGTAACGAATCGATTCTGATCTGCTGTCGATCCGGGAGCGAGTCCAATCACAGTAATCAGAGTATAAAAAGTAGGACCGAGAAGTCAATCCAGAAATCGGAAAAAATACACCTGTTAAAGTGGCTCAATATGACCAGTACACAAAAGCGATCCCCGCCACAAGAGATCTCGACTTCACAAAAAATGGAAAATAAGGCCGCCAAGTAGTGGCCGAAAATTGAAGAGTAACAGTAGCTGAAGTTGAGATGACAACCCAGTTTGAGTAAGATCAGTGAGAATAACACACTGCCAAAATTACTACTCCATGACGAACTGAAGTGATTCAGAGACGAAGAATACTGAAAATTAATAATCAATATGGGAGCAGTGGGCGAACCGACCGCTGTAGGTCTGCCTATCGGTCAAGACATGAAGTATCCATCGAGCCAGCGTCTTTCGGTAACCGAGGGCTTGAAGGCGACTGACGACTGTTTACTGGGCACATCCAAGTCTCGTCGCAAGACTGCAAGTGCAGCCGTTCGGATCCTCTTTGACGGTGTCGAGGATGACCGAGTTGACGTCGAGGAAGCGTCCGGACTGGGGCTTGCCTTCGAGGTCCATTTCTCATTCCTTAGAGCGAGGGAACCAGCGATGTACGGTAGCGATGGAAAAAGTGTCTTCTCCCAACGCGCTGTCGATTCTGTGGAATATTGCTGTCGCTCCAGTGCCGCGGCGCTACTCATAGAAGATGATGGCTCGAAGACAGCCTTGTGAAATTGACATCGTGCTCAAACCCTGGTAAGAGCACGTGACCCTATATACCTTTGCGGAGAAGCTCTGGAATGTTCTACAACTATCACACGATAGATCATAGATATATGTAGGTCAAAAATCTAAAGACCCGCACTTTTCAAAAAAAAACCCTATCAAGACTTTTCAATCAACCTAATACATACTTCCTATCTACACTATATGCATACATTGAGTGCTTTCATTTCTTCTTCGTAACTTTATGAAATTTGAGCTGGACATGTATGGGTACTGAAGTGGTAAAACGCTCCGCCTCATGTCTACACAATGGTTTTCTCTGATTCGAACTCTACTCATTTTTGTTCTACTTTTCAATTCTCAAGAAAAAGATGGCTTTCGTACATGAGATAGAAAGGCATTACCAACTCCTTTGCTCATCACTTACCACCTATTTATCCTTAATGCGCCTAACTGAAATCGTTCGCAGTATGCCTTTAATTTTATAACCCTGAAGGCATAATTTTGAGGTACTCTTTTTAGTTGAAAAAAGGAATGGAATGAGAGTGTAGTGCATCAATGGCGAAGAAAGCAAGAAAATTCGCGTTTTGCGAAAACTGATGCCTTCAGATATAGCGAAATTAGCGAGATTAGACTTGTTGCAAGTGCGCGAATAGCTGACCCCATTGAGCCAGATTTGTCCAAAACTGCTTTCCACTGTCACAGTCGACCACGAAGTAGTTTGAATTTCCA